CAGCAGGTGAAGCAAGAGACTGGAGACGTCAGAGCTCTGGAGATCTCCCCTTTAGAGCAGTCAGTCATCAGCATCAAACAGTCCACACACAGACTGCAGTTACTAACCCTGACCACAGTAGGGAGACAGAAAGCAGATACTATCTGCTCTAATAACACAGTAATAACAATATGTCTAAAGTCATTATATCAGTCCCTATTCAGCACTTATATCAGAAACCATTTCAGTGATTACATAGCTATCATGTTTCTACATCACATCAGTCTGACTGTCCAGGAAGACTACTTACATGTAGGACACTTTACTGAAACATGGTGGATGGGGAGAAGACCAGAAGATTATTTGCATAGTGATGATGCTCTGCATAGACAGCACATGCTTCAGTGGTCTGGGAGTGTTTATAGCCCTGTGAGTTTAACACTTCATGACTGAGAGCTGTCCTTCATGACAACAGAACCCACAACAACCATGACTTTTATCACCATCTTCATCTGGATATTTGCCCTCTGTCTCCAAGGTAATATATTTTACAGAAAACTACCTGGACAATTGCAATATCAGGCTATATAACCTCATTACAGTTTAATTTCATATGCTACATGGAAAAATGTATTAACAATTGAATGTTATTTCTACATGACATCTCTGTTTCAGAATCCAGAGGACAGTTCACTGTGACTCAGACTCCTGCAGTGAAAGTTGTTCTCCCAGGACTGACAGTCTCTCTGAACTGTAAAACCAGCAGTGATGTCTATAACCATAACTATCTAGCCTGGTACCAACAGAGACCTGGAGGAGCTCCTAAACTCCTTATTTACTATGCTACAACACTCTGACCATGACTTCACTCTGACCATCAGTAGAGTCCAGGCTGAAGATGCAGGAGATTACTACTGTCAGAGTCAACACTACCCCAACAGTGTCTGGGTGTTCACACAGTGATACAGAGCTTTACAAAAACCTCCCTCAGTCAGACTGCACAGTGACTGTACTGCTACAGCTGGGACCTACTGCAGGTGCTGAGGGGGAAGAGACAGTGACATTGAACACTGTCTGAACTAAAATACACTAATCTAAATATACCAGTGATGCTGACAATAATGACAACTTATTCCCCCTCATGTCAAAGCATTCCTGAAGTGATAACACCCATATGTCCAGATGACATAAATATTCCTCCCATTTTGTGTTGGCCAACCTGAAATAGTTCAAACGCAAACATTGTTTCAACATGTCACACAATATGGTGAAAGGAATCCATCTATGTAAAATAATAATGTCTCACAACATTTCAGAATACAACCTCCAGTCTCTGTGAGATTCCTCTGTCAGGTTGTGAATTACAAGCGAAAAATATGCTATATTTATTGAGATGGTATAACATGATTATAACCTCTAATCCCTAAAACAGTGTTTCTCAAACCTCTCCTTAAGTATCCGAGGAAGTCCACATATTTGATTTTATTCCAGAATTAGTACAGCTGATTTACATAATGAGGGGCTTGTTGATTAGGTGACCATTTGAATCAGCTGTGCTAGTTCTTGAACAAATCAAATACTGTAAGTGGACTGAAATGACCTGTAGTGTAGTCAACACAAAACTCTCTCCTGCCACGCCCTGCTAGAATCTTCCAGCACTTTCCCAGCCTTTAATTGAGCCCAGCTGAGGCTTGTTTACCAATCAAGGCCATGATTGTCTGGGCAACTAGCCCCTACGCTTAAAAATACTCCTGCTCACACAGATCTCTTCAATTACACAGTCTCTGTGGGACTAAGAAAGTCTGAGGTGGTCCTCTGTAGCTCAGCTGGTAGAGCACGGCGCTTGTAACGCCTTGGTAGTGGGTTCGATCCCCGGGACCACCCATACACAAAAAAATGTATGCACGCATGACTGTAAGTCGTTTTGGATAAAAGCGTCTGCTAAATGGCATATTATTATTATTATATATTATATATTATATTCATTAGTTGTACACTCTGGCAAAATGTTTTGCATTGGAAAAATATTTGAAACGAATACAAGAGTTTCTATTGGACAAATTCAGCTAGGTTCCTCTCCGTTTTGTTCCGTTTGATTCCGTTTGGTTCCGTTAGGTTCCTAGTGAATACACCCCTGTGGGGGTGTATTCATTACGGAAACAGTTTACCGTTTAAGAACCAAACTGATATTTTATTGCTTGGTTTAATGGACTTTAGAGGTCATAATGGATGTAACTGAAGTCAATTTCTAATGTGGTGTAACTGTGAATAATATTATAATTTTTTATTCAACTTTTTCTTTATGTTGTTGTCTGTTATTGTTGTTTGGTGTTATGTTATTATTTTTAGATTATTTTATTATGGTCCATTTAACTATTCTTGATATCCCAGTTTGTGCCTTGCCTGTCATGGTATTGTAGTTGTCACGTCCTGTATTTCTGTTGGAAAAAAGAAAGAAACGGAAGAAAACAGAGCAAAACGAGTTTAAATTGGAAAAATCCAGATAGGTCCATCCCTGTTTCGTTCTGTTTGCTTCCGTTTAAGAAACGTTTTGCAACAGAATCTGCAGAAATTAATAAGCCCCTGTTTGCATAGATTGGACACTTTGCATAGGCAGCACATGCTTCAGTGCTCTGGGAGTGTTTATAGCCCTGTGAGTTTAACACTTCATGACTGAGAGCTGTCCTTCATGACAACAGAACCCACAACAACCATGACTTTTATCACCATCTTCATCTGGATATTTGCCCTCTGTCTCCAAGGTAATATATTTTACAGAAAAGGACCTGGATCATACCAATAAATATATAACCTCATTACAGTTTTAGTGAATATGCTAAATGGACAAATGAATGAACAATGTAATGCTAATTCTACATGCCATCTCTGTTTCAGAGTCCAGAGGCCAGGTCACTGTGACTCAGACTCCTGCAGTGGAAACTGTTTCAGTGGGTCACTCAGTCAGTCTCAGCTGTAAGACCAGCAGTGCTGTAGTCAGTGACAGCAATGGACACTTTCTAGCCTGGTATCAACAGAAACCTGGAGGAGCTCCTAAACTCCTAATATACAGGGCTAAAACCCTTCAGTCTGGGACTCCATCTAGATTCAGTGGCAGTGGATCTGGGAGTGACTTCACTCTGACCATCAGTGGAGTCCAGGCTGAAGATGCAGGAGATTACTACTGTCAGAGTTTCCACAGTGGTCCAGTGTTCACACAGTGATACAGAGCCGTACAAAAACCTCCCTCAGTCAGACTGCACAGTGACTGTACTGCTACAGCTGGGACCTACTGCAGGTGCTGAGGGGAGGAGACAGTGACATGGAACACTGGTCAGTAAGGAAGTCAACTTTGAATATGTTTAGAAGGCGTCATCATGTTCCCCATCATTATCATCATCATCATCATCATCATCATCATCATCATCATCGTTATCATGGTTGTAACTCATTATATTTGTAATGAAGTGAAAGTTCACCTAAAACAGTTAGGTATTTTGAAACATATTTTTATGTATTTATTTTACCTTTATTTTCATGGTTAGTCTCATTGAGATTAAACATCTATTTTATAAGAGAGGCCTGCCCAAAATAGCAGCACACAAAGCTTAACACACAATTTACAACATAAAACACAAAGCACTACAGTTTAAAACCATACATTTACACATTGAGAAGGCAATAATTATTTGGGGAGATGTGCTGCATCTAGGGGTCAAAACACTGACAGCCCCCCCACTTAATTGTCCACCATGGTTTTTTACCCTAGCTACAGTAGTCAGTCAAAGAGATGAGCTCCTGCAATTTCATGTCCCTTTGAAGCTCCTTCCAGGTGGAAGGGCCAGAGAACTGTAACACTTTTTTTACCCAGATCTGTACAGGACTTAGAAACAGTCAACAAGATACAGGTATGTGTAGACGATAGTTGTCATTTGTCATTTGTCTGTTGGACAATGTAGGTCCATAGGTCAAATGGGAGTTATTACCAGTCCACATGAGAAGCCAAACAAAAGGTGTTATGACCTCAACATTACTTAAAAGTTACAATCACTTCAGCCCCCCAAAAAAGTCATCATATGGACCTCACAACCAAATATCTGATTTAAATGGAAGTATTAATCTACAGCAAAATATTAACTTTTTGTCATGAGTAGGTTACTGACTGCTAGACCTGTGAATTAGACCTGATGCTGGACTCAACCATGAGACACATGTACACTATCCAAATACACTATCTACACTTCACTATATACACTACACTATCTACACTATCTACATACACTATATACCCTACACTATCTACCCTATATACAGTACACTATCTACATTAAGTATAACACCCATTTTATCTGTCATTAATTACATTACGGCATATCTGTTATGTCTCCCTTCCTGCATCCACCATAGAGGTTAGAACCAGACAGTCCCTCACATCTGGCCCAGTCCAGGGTATTTCAGGCAGTGAAACTGTTCAACTGCTAGACTGTTAGCTGTGAGAGTGAAACTGAGATTTGCATAGACAGGGCTGGGTGGTTCTGCTTGTCCCAGAATAGAGCAGCACCGGCACTAGATGTTCACTCTGTCCCCAGGGGGTTGGAGGTAGAGAAGATCTGGAGAAATATAATGAATAAGTTTACACCACAGGTCGTTGAAAACCATTGCTAATAATTCGAATTAATAAAATCATATTAAGAATTAAACATTGTAAATATACATATGTTATGGAAAGTAACTGTTTAGCAGTGTGAGTTCTGAGAGCAGATCTTAGAGGTGTATTATCAAATATCACTAATTATTATCACTGGTATTGATGCTACAGTATAACAGGATCATTCAGTTGTAGAAATGATTGCAGAGTATTTGTTGTATCAGATGCCCTTTTAATTCTGTTTGAAAACATGAGAGTAGCTATATGCTACAATGCTAAATTATGAAAGAAGCTGATTGATATAAATTAATATGAAATGTGCTGCCTATTCATGAGATAGTGATCACTGGAATCATGATTAAATCAACTCTTGGGGTTATATTTCAATCAAAACAAGCTTTATTTAAACTCAGAGGCAAGAAGACATGCACAACTTAATCTCAAAATAGTTAATTTAGCACACAGCACTACTCATATTTTCACTATTATACTTTAACATTCAGCTCTAAAACACTAATGTTTCCAGAACTAACACCACGTGGGGACTCTCTAGACCCCTGCAATGGCTTCTAGACACTACAGTGACTTTTCCGGAAGGCGGCTGAATCACTGGTGTCGTCGTGGGCGACCCTGCAGGTGTACACCTCTCCCTCTTCCCAGAGTGCCTTGCTCAGGGTCAAGGTGCTGCTGCGGCTGTAGTGGCCACCCTTCTCTTCTTCTGTGGTGGTCAGGACCCCCTCCTTCACCTCTGCCCCGTCCACCTCCCAGCTCACCATCGCCCCCTGGGGGGAGTAGCCGCTCAGCAGGCAGGCCAATGTGGCCGAGCCCCCGGAGAGCTGCTCAGAGGACGGGGGGAGCAGAGACACTGTGGGCCTGACAGAGGGACCAGCTGGAGGAGAGAAGAGAAGAGAGGAGGGTCAGCTACTACTACTCCATAATGGAATAATTTAGGAGAGGAGAGGAGAGGAGAGGAGAGGAGAGGAGAGGAGAGGAGAGGAGAGGAGAGGAGAGGAGAGGAGAGGAGAGGAGAGGAGAGGAGAGGAGAGGAGAGGAGAGGAGAGGAGAGGGTCAGCTACTAATACTACTACTACTACTACTACTACTACTACTACAAATACTACTACTACTACTACTACTCTATAACATTAGGAGAGGAGAGGGTAATTTACTCCTGCTACTCTGTAATGGAATAGATTAGGAGGAGAGGGGACTGTGTAACACTGTGTTATTAGTGAACAAAACTATTTCAGATCGACATTATACACAGGTTAAACATCTAGCTACAGTAGAGAGGACAATGAAACACTTAATCTTTAAGATCAATGCAAAAAAAAAATTCTACAATTTAGCCTACCAAGAGCAACAAAACACAGAGGTGGTTTCCCGGACACAGATTAAGCGTAGTCATAGACTAAAAATATATTTAAATGTAGATTCTCCATTGAGCTTGCTTTTTAGTCCTGGACTAGCCTTGATCTGTGTCTGGGAAACCGCCCCTGAATCTATAAGACATGCAGTAAACAGATATCACATATAGTTTGTATACAGTATTATTTCATATTCACAATGTAAAATCAGACATGAAATCTCCATATCAATTTTGTCAAATCTACTCTGAGACAAAAGCCAAAATGACCTCAAAATACTAATCAAATCTATAGATGAGGTTCCCCTTTAAACCATGTCAGTGTTAACAACTACTATGAATACAATACAAAGTGTTGCTTATATTGTAGAAATAGTAGTTGCTACATCTCGACAGAACAATGAGCTGACATGCAATACTGTATACCAAATATATTTTTTAATCATGTTAGAATACTTATGGTTTTATTACCACATAAACATGATGGTATGTGAACAATTTTCTCACTTTGTTGACTCTACCCTCTACCAATCAACCAATCTGTCCACAGAAATCTCTAAAAGGATATAGCCTAAAAGTCTTTCCTCTGGAGAAGATGATAACATCTCATAATGTTGTTTAATAGCATGATTACGTTTACTTTTATGAGAGAAAGAGAAAAAAGGACTTACTTTTCAGCACCAGTTTTGTTCCGCTTCCAAAAGTCCACCACAGTGATTCATTCTGGTGAAGTCGCCGTACAAAAACCTCCTTCACACAAGAGTGAGCACCTTCATACACAGTGCACTCTCAGTACCACCCTGATAGTACTGAAGTACTAGTATAATACAATAGGGAATGATAGTCCTGAAGTACTTGTATAATACAATAGGGACTGATAGTACTGAAGTACTAGTATAATACAATAGGGACTGATAGTACTGAAGTACTAGTATTTAAAACAAAAGGGAATGACGTCCTGAAGGAAATGTATTAAAACAATAGGGACTAATTTGTACTGAAGTACAGGATAATACAATAGGGACTGATAGGGACTGAAATTTCTAGTATAATATAATTGGGGGCTGATGGACTGAATTTCTATTAATATAACAATGGGACTGATAGTTTTCTGTTTCTAGTATTAAAAACAATTTGGGAAAAGGAAAAGTCCTGAAGAACTGTATAATACCCAAAAGGGGGCTGAAGTACTGAAGTACAAGGGATAATACAAAAAGGGACTGATAGTACGAAGTACAGTATAATCAAAAGGGACTGGTAGTACTGAAAATATAGTTAATAAAATAGGGGGCTGATAGTTTCTGGGAAATATAGTATAAAACCTAGGGAATGAAGTCCTAAGAACTAGTATAATACAAAAAGGGGGGCTGAATTGACTGAAGTAAATGTATAATACAATGGGAAAGACAGTCCTGAAGAACTAGTATAATACAATAGGGACTGATAGTACTGAAGTACTAGTATAATACAATAGGGACTGATAGTACTGAAGTACTAGTATAATACAATAGGGACTGATAGTATGAAGTACTAGTAATAATACAACAGGACTGATAGTCTGAAGTACTAGTATAATATAAAGGGACTGATAGTTCTGAAAGTACTAGTATAATATAGAGGGACTGATAGTACTGAAGTACTAGTATAATACAATAGGGACTGATAGTACTGAAGTACTAGTATAATACAATAGGGAATGACAGTCCTGAAGAACTAGTATAATACAATAGGGACTGATAGTACTGAAGTACTATATAATACAATATGGACTGATACGTACTGAAGTATAGTAAATACAATATGGATGATAGTACTGAAGTATTCTAGTATAATACAATATGGACTGATAGTACTGAAGTGCATAGTATAATACAATAGGGTACTGATAGTACTGAAGTACTAGTATAATACAATAGGGACTGATAGTACTGAAGTACTAGTATAATACAATATGGACTGATAGTACTGAAGTGCTAGTATAATACAATAGGGACTGATAGTACTGAAGTACTAGTATAATACAATAGGAATGATAGTACTGAAGTACAAGTATAATACAATAGGGACTGATAGTCCTGAAGTACTAGTATAATACAATAGGGACTGATAGTACTGAAGTACTAGTATAATACAATAGGGATTGATAGTACTGAAGTACTAGTATAATACAATAGGGACTGATAGTCCTGAAGTACTAGTATAATACAATAAGGACTGATAGTACTGAAGTACTTGTATAATACAATAGGGACTGATAGTCCTGGGTTATGAGTAAATCCATTGAAGAATGCAGATAATTAAGTTTAATCTTGGATCACTGATTTACATTTAAAATATGATAACATAATTTGATAACATAAATCAAATCAAATCAAATTTTATTTGTCACATACACGTGTTTACCAGATGTTATAGCAGGTGTAGCGAAATGCTTGTGCTTCTAGCTCCGACAGTGCAGTAATATCTAACAAGTAATATCTAACAATTTCACAACATATAACCAATACACACAAAACTAGTAAGGAATGGGATTTAAGAATATATACATATATGTATCTGTTATGAATGTGGGTCCTTACCAAGAAAACAATTTACATAGAACACTTTGCATTGGCAGCACATGCTTCAGTGGTCTGGGAGTGTTTTTATAGCCCTGTAAGGTTAACGCTTCATGACTGAGAGCTGTCCTTCTGAAAACAGAACTTCAACAATGACTTTGATCATGAGCTTCTTGTGGATATTAATGTTCTTAGTTCAGGGTAAGACAATTTAATATCATGATCTTAAAATTGTTTTACTTATCAAAATATTAAATCTAAATTGCCTCTGCCTCGACAGATTGACATTCATGAAAATGTACATAAAACAAACACATTTCAAAATATTCTTAAATGTCTCTGTTTCAGAATCCAGAGGACAGGTCACTGTGACTCAGACTCAGTGAAAGTTGTTGTCCCAAGACAGACATTTATTATAAACTGTAAAACCAGTGCAAATGTAGCTAATGCATGTCCTGGGGGTTATACCTGTATGTCCTGGTACCACCAGAAACCTGGAGGAGCTCCTAAACTCCTTATTTACTATGCTACAACACTTCAGTCTGGGACTCCATCTAGATTCAGTGGTAGTGGATCTGGGAGTGACTTCACTCTGACCATCAGTGGAGTCCAGGCTGAAGATGCAGGAGATTGCTACTGTCAGAGTTTACACTATCCCAATAGTAAACAAAAACCTCCCTCAGTCAGACTGCACAGTGACTGTACTGCTACAGCTGGGACCTACTGCAGGTGCTGAGGGGGAAGAGACAGTGACATGGAACACTGGTTAGTGACGTCAACTTTGAATATGTTTAGAAAGCATCATTCAGATCACATGTCCCCTATCATCATCATCATCATAATGCTTGTGAATAATTGTTGTCATGGTCGGAATGTGCACTTTTATAAGTTAAATGAAGTTTTAAAACACACAATACCTGTCCCTATGCAGAGTCAGATATACAGAAGTAAAACATAAATAAAGGTGGTGTTACATCAGCTTCAGCCTCCCTAAATCAAATCCCCATATGAAACTCACAACCAAATATTGATGTGATCATCTAGCATTATATTAACTGTTTTGGTGATCAGGTTACTGACTGTTAGATCTGTGAATGAGACATGATGCTGGGCTCGAATATTAGACCCATTTATGTAGAGACATACACTATACAGTATTATCATAAAGTATAATATTTATACAATTTTATCTGTTATTAATTACATGATGGCATATCTATTTTGTGTCCCTCTCTGAATCCACTATAAAGGTTCAAACCAGTTTACTCCCTCACATCTGGCCCAGTCCAGGGTATGTCAGGCAGTGAAACTCTTCAACTACTAAACTGGTAGCTGTGGGAGTGAAACTGAGAAATTACATAGACAGGGCTGGGTGGTTCTGCTTGTGCCAGATTAGAGTAGCACTCTCAAAACAATCTTTATTTGAACTCAAAGGCAAGAAGACATGAACAACTTAATCTCAAAATAGTTCATTTAGCATACAACACTACTGATATTATTCACTATTATACTTTAACATCCAGCTCTAAAACACTAATGTTTCCTTCACTAGCACCACGTGGGGACTCTCTAGCCCCCTACAATGGCTTCTAGACACTACAGTGACTTTTCCGGAAGGCGGCCAAATCACTGGTATCGTCATGGACGATCCTGCAGAAATATAAAACACTGAGCTAAATATATCAGTGACGCTGACAATATGTCAACTCATCCCCTCTCATATCAAAGCATTCCTTAAGTGACAACACCCATAGGTCCAGACTACATCAATATTCCTCCCCTGTTGCTATGGAAAACAAACTTTTTTGTAACATGTCACACAATAAGTTGAACGGACTCCATCTATGTGCAATAGCAATGTCTCACATCATTTCAGAATAAATAACCCTGCTTCTGTAAGGTCCCTCAGTCAGGTAGTGAATTTAAAGCAAATATTAAACAATATTTATTGAGATTATATAACATGATTACAACCCCATAAAATGTCCTGTGGTTCTGTCAAGGCAAAACGTCTCTCCTGCCACACCTTTTCAGCACCTTCCCATTCTTTAATTGAATCCAGCTGAGGCTTTTTAACCAATTAAGACCATGATTGGCTGGACAATGCTGCTGCTCACACAAACCTCTTCAACAAACGAAGGTTGTGAGAAGTTGAAGGAAGCATGGAGAGGTCAGAGATAGTCAGACTTGTAAAATGGGCTAAGGAACAGAAGTTGGGTTTTGGAGAAGTGCCATCAGTGCGTGCTCTGCAAGCAATGTAGCTGATGAAGGTGCGACAAGAGTGTGGTGAACGGACAGATGTGATTGTGGACAGCAAGGAAGAAGGAGAAGAGCCAAGTATAGTGGGTAGATGTGTGTTGAAGAAGAATGGTGTCAGACATGATAAAGAAGAATCTTGACCAATAGTAGTGACATTTTGGAGAAGGTGGACCCTTGTCTTTTGGCAGATCCATTTGTGGTTTAAGGGTGGGTGAGAAAGGAGTTGGAGGTAGTTAAATCAATGAAGTTAACCACGATGAGAGGGAGAGGGCGCTCCGTGTCACGTAACTTGGGTCAAGATCTGTTTCTTGCTTTGGAACAGGGCACCATTGAAAGGGGGGATTTCTGGGGTAGCATTAATTGTGGATGTAGCAATTGAAGTTGAAAATGTCTGGTGTTTGTGATGCCCGCCGTTTGGTGCGACGCAGGTCCGGTGGGGAGAGTGGTGAAACAGAGGAGTCATTGTCAGCTCTTTTGAGTCTTGAGCCAGACAAAGTCATGTTAGGATATATTAGTTATCCTGTAAGAACATTTGTGTAGAATCCACTGCGCTGTTTCAGGTGCAATGTTTATGGTTCAAGGGTGGGGGATCAGAATAGTGCAGAGGGTGTCGTATGCTGAGGCAGTGAAGGAAGTGGAGGAGGATTGGTCAAGGGTGAGGGATCCTGATAGGATCCCAGTGAGTAGTAGATTTGTGCCAGCACAGAGGGATAGGGCAAGAAGTGAGTTATGCTTCAGTAAGGTTGTCTTCTTAGCGTTCATAGCAATTGTTATCAACTGTACCGCAGAAATGGAACATAAATCACAGAGAATAGATTTTGTGGTGGCAGCTGCAGAGAAGTATTTGGTTATACGAGATATGACAACAACCATTACTTTTATCACCATCTTCATCTGGACATCTGTTTTCTGCTTTCAAGGTTAAAATATATATTTACACAAAGGAATAATGTTAACATTTCATATAACTTTTTTTTCTATGTTTCAGAATCCAGAGGACAATACACTGTGACTCAGACCTCTGAAATGAAAGCTTTCCACCATGAAAACAGAGTCAGTTTAGGATGTAGATTTCACAAGCCTCCTGCTTGTAGTCCCCCTCCTGCTTGTAGCCTGGTATAAACAGAAACCTGGAGGAGCTCCTAAACTCCTCATTTGCTATACCAAAACACTTCAGTCTGGGACTCCATCTAGATTCAGTGGTAGTGGATCTGGGACTAAATTCACTCTGACCATCAGTGGGGTCCAGGCTGAAGATGCAGGAGATTACTACTGTCAGAGTTTCCACTATCCCAATAGTAAAGATGTGTTCACACAGTGATACAGAGCCGTACAAAAACCTCCCTCAGTCAGACTGCACAGTGACTGTACTGCTACAGCTGGGACCTACTGCAGGTGCTGAGGGGGAAGAGACAGTGACATGTAACACTGGTCACTAGATGAGGTGAACTTTAAATGTGTTTAGAAAGCATCATTCAGATCACATATTCCCCATCATCATCATCATCATCATAATTTTACCTTTATTTAACCAGGTTAGTCTCATTGAGATTAAACATCTATTTTACAAGAGAGACCTGGCCAAAATAGCAGCACGCAAAGCTTTACACACAATTACAACATAAAACACAAAGCACTACAGTTTAACAACAGAAATGTACACATTGAGAAGGCAAGAACTCTTTACGGAGGGGTAGTACATCTGGGGGTCAAAACATTGACAGCCCCGCACTTCATTGTCCACCATAGATTTTACCCAACTCCTCATTCAAACAGAAATTTGCATCCTGTAGCACTAACTCCAAAAAGTTTTGGGACACTGTAAAGTCCATGGAGAATAAGAGCACTTCCTCCCAGTTGCCCACTGCACTGAGACTAGGAAACACTATCACCACCGATAAATCTACAATAATCGAGAATTTCAACAAGCATTTTGCTACAGCTGGCCATGCTTTCCATCTGGCTACCACTACCCCGGCCACCAACTCTGCACCCTCCGCTGCAACTTGCCCATGCCCCCCCCGCTTCTCCTTCACACAAATTCAGACAGCTGACGTTTTGAAAGAGCTGCAAAATCTGGACCCCTACAAATCAGCTGGGCTAGACAATCTGGACCCTTTCTTTCTAAAACTAGCCGCCGAAATTGTCGCAACCCCTATTACTAGTCTGTTCAACCTCTCTTTCATAACGTCTGAGATCCCCAGAGATTGGAAAGCTGCCACGGTCATCCCCCTCTTCAAAGGGGGTGACACTCTAGATCCAAACTGCTACAGACCTATATCCATCCTGCCCTGCCTTTCGAAAGTATTTGAAAGCCAAGTTAACAAACAGATCACCGACCATTTCGAATACCACCGTACCTTCTCCGCTATGCAATCCGGTTTCCGAGCTGGTCATGGGTGGACTTCAGCCACGCTCAAGGTCCTAAACGATATTATAACCGAGAGATTGATAATAGACAGTACTGTGCAGCCGTCTTCATCGACCTGGCCAAGGCATTCGACTCTGTCAACCACCGCATTCTTATTGGCAGACTAAATAGCCTTGGTTTCTCAAATGACTGCCTCGCCTGGTTCACCAACTACTTTTCAGATAGAGTTCAGTGTGTCAAATAGGAGGGCCTGTTGTCTGGACCTATGGCAGTCTCTATGGGGGTGCCACAGGGTTCAATTCTTGGGCCGACACTTTTCTCCGTGTATATCAATGATGTCGCTCTTGCTGCTGGTGACTCTCAGATCCACCTCTACGCAGACGACACCATTTTGTATACATCTGGCCCTTCATTGGACACTGTGTTAACAAACCTCCAAACGAGCTTCAATGCCATACAACACTCCTTCAATAGCCTCCAACTGCTCTTAAACACTAGTAAAACTAAATGCATGCTTTTCAATTGAATGCTGCTGGCACCCGCCCACCTGACTAGAATCACCACTCTCGACGGGTCTAACCTAGAGTATGTGGACAACTACAAATACCTAGGTGTCTGGTTAGACTGTAAACTCTCCTTCCAGACTCAGATAAAGAATCTCCAATCTAAAGTTAAATCTAGAATCGGCTTCCTATTTCGCAATAAAGCCTCCTTCACTCATGCTGCCAAACATGCCCTCGTAAAACTGACTATCCTACCGATCCTTGACTTCGGCGATGTCATTTACAAAATAGCCTCCAACACTCTACTCAGCAAATTGGATGTAGTCTATCACAGTGCCATCCGTTTTGTCTCCAAAGCCCCATACACTACCCACCACTGTGACCTGTACGCTCTTGTTGGCTGGTCCTCACTACATGTTCGTCGTCAAACCCACTGGCTCCAGGCCATCTATAAATCACTGCTAGGCAACTCCCCGCCTTATCTTAGCTCATTGGTCACCATAGCAGCACCCACCCGTAGTCTGCGCTCCAGCAGGTATATCTCACTGGTCATTCCCAAAGCCAACACCTCCTTTGGCCGCCATTCCTTCCAGTTCTCTGCTGCCAATGACTGGAACGAATTGCAAAAATCTCTGAAGCTGGAGACTCTTATCTCCCTCAATAACTTTAAGCATCAGTTGTCAGAGCACCTTACCGATCACTGCACCTGTACACAGCCCATCTGAAATTAGCCCACCCAACTACCTCATCCCTATATTGTTATTTATTTTGCTCTTTTGCACCCCAGTATCTCTATTTGCACATAATCTCTTGCACATCTAGCATTCCAGTGTTAATACTATTGTAATTATTTTCCACTATAGCCTATTTATTGCCTTACCTCCATAACTTGCTACATTTGCACACACTGTATATTTATTTTCTGTTGTATTTTTGACTTTATGTTTTTTTACCCCATATGTAACTCTGTGTTATTTTTATCGCACTGCTTTGCTTTATCTTGGCCAGGTCGCAGTTGTAAATGAGAACTTGTTCTCAACTGGCTTACCTGGTTAAATAAAGGTGAAAAAACAAAAACAAAAAAAAACAAAATTCAAAGAGAGGACCTCCTGGAAAGGCCAGAAAACTGGAAAATCTTTTTTTTTTAAACACATCTCTGTAAGAGCCTTAGGTACAATCAAAAATATAGAGTCATGTGAGTGTGGATGATATTTGTCATTTGTCTGGTTGACAATGGCGGTACATAGGTCAAATGGGAGCTATTACCAGTCAAATGTCCACATGCAGAGTTTGAAGCACAGCAATAATGCATGAGGCCATGTGTTATGAAATTTTTTATCATTGCTGTGATATCGTCATACCCACGAGGCGAAGAACATGGCTTGTGACATAACACATGGCCTCGAGGATGTTATTGCTTTTATACAACGTGTTACCAGCATAAAAAATCAAGATTATTTCCCAAACCATACATTTTTCTACAAAACGTGATGCTACATCCACTAACACTGGTTGTCAAGTGAAGTTTTAGGTATTCTCTGGTCGTTAGTTCTATTCGTATTGACTGCCATCTAAAAAGCAAAACTACCCAAGCGCTGGTTGACAGTTCCAGATCCTCTAGGGACGCTGTCCATGGATTTGAAAACAACGCTGAAACCAGCCCTGGCGCCACGAGGGTGCAAAAGGGGGCAATGCCCACTTAGTTGGAATATTGTGCCCCCTGAGTTTTGTGTTCCTATTCTGTCCCACAATCTGCCCCCTCTGTCATGCCCATTTGTTGTGTATGCTTCATTCATGCAACTCCCTTGCACGCATCATACCTATGTAATACACATTTTACAGGTTGAAAAAAAAACTATTGATTGGCCATCACAGTAGAAGGGAGGGGTCAATTTGACCATTTAGGTTTACTTTAAAAGTTACGTACTACGAAAAAAATAAAAAGTTTCACCGAGCATTTGGATGGAATTTAGCTAATGTTAACAGTTATGTACAGTGGGGAGAACAAGTATTTGATACACTGCCGATTTTGCAGGTTTTCCTACTTACAAAGCATGTAGAGGTCTGTAATTTTTTATCATAGGTACACTTCAACTGTGAGAGACAGAATCTAAAACAAAAATCCAGAAAATCAAATTGTATGATTTTTAAGTAATTAATGACTTAAGTATTTGATCACCTACCAACCAGTAAGAATTCTGGCTCTCAAAGACCTGTTAGTTTTTCTTTAAGAAGCCCTCCTGTTCTTCACTCATTACCTGTATTAACTGCACCTGTTTGAACTCGTTACCAGTATAAAAGACACCTGTCCACACACTCAATCAAACAGACTCCAACCTCTCCACAATAGCCAAGACCAGAGAGCTGTGTAAGGACATCAGGGATACAATTGTAGACCTGCACAAGGCTGGGATTGGCTACAGGACAATAGGCAAGCAGCTTGGTGAGAAGGCAACAACTGTTGCTGCAATTATTCGAAAATGGAAGAAGTTCAAGATGACGGTCAATCACCCTCGGTCTGGGGCTCCATGCAAGAACTCACCTCGTGGGGCATCAATGATCATGAGGAAGGTGAGGGATCAGCCCAGAACTACACGACAGGATCTGGTCAATGACCTGAAGAGAGCTGGGACCACAGTCTCAAAGAAAACCATTAGTAACACACTATGCCGTCATGGATTAAAATCCTGCAGTGCACGCAAGGTCCCCCTGCTCAAGCCAGCGCATGTCCAGGCCTGTCTGAAGTTTGCCAATGACCATCTGGATGATCCAGAGGAGGAATGGGAGAAAGTCATGTGGTCTGATGAGACAAAAATATAGCTTTTTGGTCTAAACTCCACTCGCCGTGTTTGGAGGAAGAAGAAGGATGAGTACAACCCCAAGAACACCATCCCAACAGTGAAGCATGGAGGTGGAAACATCATTCTTCTGGGATGCTTTTCTGCAAAGGGGACATGACGACTGCACCGTATTGAGGAGAGGATGGATGGGGCCATGTATCGCGAGATCTTGGCCAACAACCTCCTTCCCTCAGTAAGAGCATTGAAGATGGGTCGTGGCTGGGTCTTCCAGCATGACAACGACCCAAAACACACAGCCAGGGCAACTTAGGAGTGGCTCCGTAAGAAGCATCTCAAGGTCCTGAGTGGCCTAGCCAGTCTCCAGACCTGAACCCAATAGAAAATCTTTGGAGGGAGCTGAAAGTCCGTATTGCCCAGCGACAGCCCCGAAACCTGAAGGATCTGGAGAAGGTCTGTATGGAGGAGTGGGCCAAAATCCCTGCTGCAGTGTCTGCAAACCTGGTCAAGACCTACAGGAAACGTATGATCTCTGTAATTGCAAACAAAGGTTTCTGTACCAAATATTAAGTTCTGCTTTTCTGATGTCTCAAATACTTATGTCATGCAGTAAAATGAAAATTAATTACTTAAAAATCATACAATGTGATTTTCTGGATTTTTGTTTTCAATTCCGTCTCTCACAGTTGAAGTGTACTTATGATAAAAATTACAGACCTCTACATGCTTTATAAGTAGGAAAACCTGCAAAATCGGCAGTGTATCAAATACTTGTTCTCCCCACTGTAGGTAGCTGATAGTACGATGGACACTATAAAAGTGGCTTTGCCAGGGAACAACGGCAGCATCGGATCAAAAGCGGCGGGGAGGAGAAGCCTGCCACAGAGGCCAAAGGCAAGGCCTTGGGCAGACCCGGTTCCAATTGGTCAGCCCCTGAGGATTTCTTGGTATCTATAGCAAGTAAGGCATAAAGGACTTATTTTTCTGTGAATTGCCGAAATACAAAAACTTCACTACCATTTTCCAAGTCAATCTTCAAAATTCCCAAATCAGCGTTTGTGATGATTAAATGCATCAATGATGGCATTTGTGCTCGTAATGGGGCCATAATCCAAAAAGATTTGTTGGGGTAGAGAGGAGGAAGTGCAACCCTTCAGAGACTTGACAGTTTCCCAAAATTTAACTAGATTCCCCTAACAATCAGAAAGAGTGGTTACATAATAATCAGATATAGCCTTTCTGATTAGTCTTACACATTGATTCCTCCTAAAATAGTGCCAATCCGGGCCAAAGCCTGTTTTCCTGGACTTGACCCAGGCAATATTTCGTATTACAAATGACTTTGGATAATTCAGGAGTGAACCAGGAATTCGATGTACCTTTAACTCTCAGAGTGTTGAAGGGGGCATGATTATCTACATATTGAGGACATTTACAAAAAAGCTTAACGCTAAATCAGGTTCGGAGATAGCTGAGATAAAATCAAAGTCACTACAATAAAGATCATGTAAAAAAGCTTGTTGACTGAAGTTTTTAAAGTTCCTCTTAGTGAGACACGAGACCGAGATTTATGTATTCTCACATCTCTGACTCAGACAACTGAGCAATGCTCACTAAAATCCAGTGTGAACACTCCATTAGCAACATATTCTTTTGGCGAATTTGTCAAGATTAGATCAATCAGGGTAGATTTTGATTGATCTTTAGGATTGGGCCGTGTAGGGTCAGTTATCAGCTGAGACAGGTTTAGCTCAGAGCAAATATCTGACACTGGCATCGTCCAATCAATATTAAAATCACCCAAAATTAATAGTTCAGATTTACCATACCTAGACAGCAATTCAGATAAATTGTTGATGGCATATACAGTGGGGAAAAAAAGTATTTAGTCAGCCACCAATTGTGCAAGTTCTCCCACTTAAAAAGATGAGAGAGGCCTGTAAGTTTCATCATAGGTACACGTCAACTATGATAGACAAAATGAGAAAAAAAAATCCAGAAAATCACATTGTAGGATTTTTTATGAATTTATTGGCATATGATGGTGGAAAATAAGTATTTGGTCAATAACAAAAGTTTCTCAATACTTTGTTATATACCCTTTGTTGGCAATGACACAGGTCAAACGTTTTCTGTAAGTCTTCACAAGGTTTTCACACACTGTTGCTGGTATTTTGGCCCATTCCTCCATGCAGATCTCCTCTAGAGCAGTGATGTTTTGGGGCTGTTGCTGGGCAACACAGACTTTCAACTCCCTCCAAAGATTTTCTATGGGGTTGAGATCTGGAGACTGGCTAGGCCACTCCTGGACCTTGAAATGCTTCTTACGAAGCCACTCCTTCGTTGCCCGGGCGGTGTGTTTGGGATCATTGTCATGCTGAAAGACCCAGCCACGTTTCATCTTCAATGCCCTTGCTGATGGAAGGAGGATTTCACTCAAAATCTCACGATACATGGCCCCATTCATTCTTTCCTTTACACGGATTAGTCGTCCTGGTCCCTTTGCAGAAAAACAGCCCCAAAGCATGATGTTTCCACCCCCATGCTTCACAGTAGGTATGGTGTTCTTTGGATGCAACTCAGCATTCTTTGTCCTCCAAACATGACGAGTTGAGTTTTTACCAAAAAGTTATATTTTGGTTTCATCTGACCGTATGACATTCTCCCAATCCTCTTCTGGATCATCCAAATGCACTTCAGACGGGCCTGGACATGTACTGGCTTAAGCAGGGGGACACGTCTCGCACTGCAGGATTTGAGTCCCTGGCGGCGTAGTGTGTTACTGATGGTAGGCTTTGTTACTTTGGTCCCAGCTCTCTGCAGGTCATTCACTAGGTCCCCCCGTGTGGTTCTGGGATTTTTGCTCACCGTTCTTGTGATCATTTTGACCCCACGGGGTGAGATCTTGCGTGGTGCCCCAGATAGAGGGAGATTATCAGTGGTCTTGTATGTCTTCCATTTCCTAATAATTGCTCCCACAGTTGATTTCTTCAAACCAAGCTGCTTACCTATTGCAGATTCAGTCTTCCCAGCCTGGTGCAGGTCTACAATTCTGTTTCTGGTGTCCTTTGACAGCTCTTTGGTCTTGGCCATAGTGGAGTTTGGAGTGTGACTGTTTGAGGTTGTGGACAGGTGTCTTTTATACTGATAACAAGTTCAAACAGGTGCCATTAATACAGGTAACGAGTGGAGGACAGAGGAGCCTCTTAAAGAAGAAGTTACAGGTCTGTGAGAGCCAGAAATCTTGCTTGTTTGTAGGTGACCAAATACTTATTTTCCACCATAATTTGCAAATAAATTCATAAAAAATCCTACAATGGGATTTTCTGGAATTTTTTTCCTCAATTTGTCTGTCATAGTTGACGTGTACCTATGCTGAAAATTACAGGCCTCTCTCATCTTTTTAAGTGGGAGAACTTGCACAATTGGTGGCTGACTAAATACTTTTTTTCCCCACTGTATGTTATGTGTCCCTTCCTGAATCCACTAAAGAGTTTAAAACCGGTCCACTCCCTCACACTGACCCAGTCCATGGTATTTCAGGCAGTGAAACTGTTCAACTACTAGACTGGTATCTGTGGGAGTGAAACTGAGATTTACATGGACAGGGCTGGGTGGTTCTGCTTGTCCCAGAATAGAGCAGCACCGGCACCAGATGTTCACTCTGTTCCCAGGGGGTTGGAGGTAGAGAAGACTCTATGACTATCTTGAAGCTGTGATACTTCTAATATTATGTGGACAACTAAGTCTATAAATCAAGCAGGTCAAAAACCTTTTCAACAAAGACCTCTAATATTAATCAGTTAACATTGTAGTGTCTAGACCTCTCCTGTTAATCTGTTAACATTGTAGTGTCTAGACCTCTCCTGTTAATCTGTTAACATTGTAGTATCTAGACCTCTCCTGTTAATCTGTTAACATTGTAGTATCTAGACCTCTCCTGTTAATCTGTTAACATTGTAGTATCTAGACCTCTCCTGTTAATCTGTTAACATTGTAGTATCTAGACCTCTCCTGTTAATCTGTTAACATTGTAGTATCTAGACCTCTCCTGTTAATCTGTTAACATTGTAGTGTCTAGACCTCTCCTGTTAATCTGTTAACATTGTAGTATCTAGACCTCTCCTGTTAATCTGTTAACATTGTAGTATCTAGACCTCTCCTGTTAATCTGTTAACATTGTAGTATCTAGACCTCTCCTGTTAATCTGTTAACATTGTAGTGTCTAGACCTCTCCTGTTGATCTGTTAACATTGTAGGATCTTGTGTTACTATGACCTACAGTTTGATGACAGTGTGTTTTCAAGTGAATAACTAAGCTATGACATTTAGGTCTGATCATTTTCAAAGAAACTGTGAATCAGGCTTTACAAATATATTATTATATCATTCAACATTTGACTAAAGTCTAATTATTGAAAGAGACAACGAAAATATTTGTTCCAAAGGAAAATGTTTATTTTCATCTATTAATCAAATCATCAAAGCAAACATTCCTACAGTATCTAATAATAAAAAATAATTAACACATCAAATCTAACACTGATACAACCTCAGTCTACAGAGAGGATTGACACATGAATTCAAGCCAAGCCCCCTGTTAGTCTACACCAGGGTGATCACTAAATCAGAGAATTACTGATTTTAGAACAAAGCTAGTCAAAGCAGAGGAACCAGTATCCTCTCTCCACAGGGGTGTGTGACAGAGGGGTCCTACCCAGAACAGTCAGCCCTCCTCAGGGTCTTTGTGACTGGAGTCTGGGATTTCTGCTGGAATTCACAGGTCACCTCTCCTGCCTTGGTCCACTCCTGGGAAGTGAGAGTCAGTGTGCTGCTCCAGCTGTACAAGCCGTCCTTCTCCAGGACCCCGGGACTGGCCGTTTCTCATCAGAATACTCATATTTGTAGTATTTTGCAGAATCCAAGAGGTTGGATATAAATAACAGAGACCCTTTCTGGCTATCATGAACACAATGCACTGATGACAACAATAACAAATATTATAGTTATCATACCAGAATAAGAGTTATATAGTCTGCAATTATACAAATAAAACATACAAAAAAATGCCCGAAAATAACATTTTCATTAAATAAACTGTTAAAGAAGGCTCTTTCAAAATCAATATATAACAATATTTTTGGAAAGTAAAGTATCTCAAATCTAAATGTTTTCATAGAGATGAAAGAGTTTAAGAAAAAAATTGAATCAGACAAACATCAAGAAACTTACTTCCAACATCTAGTCTGGTGCCACTACCAAAAGTGTACCACAGTGATACAACCCTTATTACTGCTGGTACAAAAACCTCCTGACCATTGGGCAAGCTGAATAATACACTTTTTTAGACTGTGGTTTAAATCATGAGCACATAAGAATACTGGCCAAATATAATGTTATATTCTTCATTTGAAATAGTTTTTTGATTAAATGAAAAACATTATAGTTTTATTATAAAATAGAAAGGTATAAAACAAACCCAAACATTTTAGAGAAATGTTCAGTAACTGATTTGAGAAGCTTTCATAAGAGTCCAAGCATGAGTGAAGTGACAGTTAGGGCTGTATTCAATCTGTATCGCTGAAGCCTTTATATTTCAATTGGGCTTTAGCGCTGAACTTCAGCAATACGGATTGAATAGAGCCCTCATCTGAAATAAAAGTTGTATCGTTGAAGTGTTACAGATTGCCGGATAGAAATGTCAAGATAATTTTTGATTGAGCTGACATATTACATTTACTTCACTTAGCAGATGTTCTTATCCAGAGGGACTTACAGGAGCAATAAGGGCCTTACTCAAGGGCACATCGACAGATTTTTTACCTAGTCGGCTCAGGGATTCGAACTAGCGACCTCTTAACTGCTAGGCTACCTGCCACCCCATATGCAGCGTTTACTGTGAATGCAGTCTCCGCTAACACAGGAACATTGCCTTTAAATTCCAATCACGCTGTAACGCTGAACTTCAGCAATACGGATTGAATAGACCCCTTCATCTTGATGCTTGTCATTTGCTTTCAAGTTAAAGTTGCTGTTGAATTCTAAAGCATATTATGTTCTAGAAAACTGATCTTAAATGGAATCTGATCTTGACAGTGTGTTATTCATTTCTCAGTATCCCGAGGGCAGATCACTGTGACTCAGATCCTGCAGTGAAAGCTGTCCTTTCAGGTCACATACTGCAGTTACTCTCCAGTGCTGTAAAACCAGCAGTGATCCATTAAAGGCTCTGTGCAGTCAAAATTCAGTTTTTCTTGTGTTTTATATAATATTCTACAACAGCTGATGAAACTAACACTGTAAAAGTGTTATATATGACGTACTGTACATAGGACCTTCTAATTAGCAGGTTTGCATTTGAGTGAGGTTCAGCTTTCCATGGTGACATTACCATGTGGCAAATTAGTTACAGTGGCTTGCGAAAGTATTCACCCCCGTTGGCATTTTTCCTATTTTGTTGCCTTACAACCTGGAATTAAAATTGATTTTTTGGGGGTTTGTATCATTTGATTTACACAACATTCCTTCCACTTTGAAGATGCAAAATATGTTTTATTGTGAAACAAACAAGAAATAAAACAAAAAAACTGAAAACTTGAGCGTGCATAACTATTCAACCCCCCAAAGTCAATACTTTGTAGAGCAACCTTTTGCAGCAATTACAGCTGAAAGTATCTTGGGGTATGTCTCTATAAGCTTGGCACATCTAGCCACTGGGATTTTTGCCCATTCTTCAAGGCAAAAATTCTCCAGCTCCTTCAAGTTGGATGGCTTCCGCTGGTGTACAGCAATCTTTAAGTCATACCACAGATTCTCAATTGGATTGAGGTCTGGGCTTTGACTAGGCCATTCCAAGACATTTAAATGTTTCCCCTAAAACCACTCAAGTGTTGCTTTAGCAGTATGCTTTGGGTCATTGTCCTGCTGGAAGGTGAACCTCCGTCCCAGTCTCAAATCTCTGGAAGACTGAAACAGGTTTCCCTCAAGAATTTCCCTGTATTTTGCACCATCCATTATTCCTTCAATTCTGACCAGTTTCCCAGTCCCTGCCAATGAAAAACATCCCCACAGCATTATTCTGCCACCAACATGTGGGGAAGGTGTTCTTGGGGTGATGAGAGACGTTGGGTTTGCGCCAGACATAGCTTTTCCTTGATGGCCAAAAAGCTAAATTTTTGTCTCATCTGACCAGAGTACCTTCTTCCATATGTTTGGGGAGTCTCCCACATGCCTTTTGGCGAACACCAAACGTGTTTGCTTATTCTTTTCTTCAAGCAATGGCTTTTTTCTGGCCACTCTTCCATAAAGCCCAGCTCTGTGGAGTGTACGGCTTAAAGTGGTCCTATGGACAGATAGTCCAATCTCCGTTGTGGAGCTTTGCAGCTCCTTCAGGGTTATCATTGGTCTCTTTGTTGCCTCTCTGATTAATGCCCTCCTTGCCTGGTCCATGAGTTTTGGTGGGCGGCCCTCTCTTGGCAGGTTTGTTGTGGTGCCATATTCTTTCAATTTTTTAATAATGGATTTAATGGTGCTCCGTGGGATGTTCAAAGTTTTGGATATTTTTGTATAACCCAACCCTGATCTGTACTTCTCCACAACTTTGTCCCTGACCTGTATGGAGAGCTCCTTGGTCTTCATGGTGCCGCTTGCTTGGTGGTGCCCCTTGCTTAGTGGTGTTGCAGTCTCTGGGGCCTTTCAGAACAGGTGTACAGTCGTGGTCAAAAGTTTTGAGAATGACACAAATATTAATTTGCACAATGTCTGCTGCCTTAGTTTTTATGATGGCAATTTGCATATACTCCAGAATGTTATGAAGAGTGATCAGATGAATTGCAATTAATTGCAAAGTCCCTCTTTGCCATGAAAATGAACTTAATCCCCCAAAAACATTTCCACTGCATTTCAGCCCTGCCACAAAAGGACCAGCTGACATCATGTCAGTGATTCTCTCGTTAACACAGGTGAGAGTGTTGACGAGGACATGGCTGGAGATCACTCTGTCATGCTGATTGAGTTAGAATAACAGACTGGAAGCTTTAAAATGAGGGTGGTGCTTGAAATCATTGTTCTTCCTCTGTTACCCATGGTTACCTGCAAGGAACCACGTGCCGTCATCATTGCTTTGCACAAAAAGGGCTTCACAGGCAAGGATATTGCTGCTAGTAAGATTGCACCTAAATCAACCATTTATCGGATCATCAAGAACTTCAAGGAGAGAGGTTCAATTGTTGTGAAGAATGCCTTCAGGGCGCCCAAGAAGGTCCAGCAAGCGCCAGGACCGTCTCCTAAAGTTGATTCAGCTGCGGGATTGGGGCACCATCAGTGCAGAGCTTGCTCAGGAATGGCAGCAGGCAGGTGTGAGTGCCTCTGCACGCACAGTGAGGCGAAGACTTTTGGAGGATGGCCTGGTGTCTAGAAGGGCAGCAAAGAAGCCACTTCTCTCCAGGAAAAACATCAGGGACAGACTGATATTCTGCAAAAGGTACAGGGATTGGACTGCTGAGGACTGGGGTAAAGTCATTTTCTCTGATGAATCCCCTTTCCGATTGTTTGGGGCATCTGGAAAAAAGCTTGTCCGGAGAAGACAAGGTGAGCGCTACCATCAGTCCTGTGTCATGCCAACAGTAAAAGCATCCTGAGACCATTCATGTGTGGGGTTGCTTCTCAGCCAAGGGAGTGGGCTCACTCACAATTTTGCCTAAGAACACAGCCATGAATAAAGAATGTTACCAACACATCCTCCGAGAGCAACTTCTCCCAACCATCCAAGAACAGTTTGGTGACGAACAATGCCTTTTCCAGCATGATGGAGCACCTTGCCATAAGGCAAAAGTGATAACTAAGTGGCTCTGGGAACAAAACATCGACATTTTGGGTCCATGGCCAGGAAACTCCCCAGACCTTAATCCCATTGAGAACTTGTGGTCAATCCTCAAGAGGCGTGTGGACAAACAAAAACCAACAAATTCTGACAAACTCCAAGCATTGATTATACAAGAATGGGCTGCCATCAGTCAGGATGTGGCCCAGAAGTTAATTGACAGCATGCCAGGGCGGATTGCAGTGGTCTTGAAAAATAAGGGTCAATACTGCAAATATTGACTCTTTGCATAAACTTAATGTAATTGTCAATAAAAGCCTTTGACACTTATGGAATGCTTGTAATTATACTTCAGTATACCATAGTAACATCTGACAAAAATATCTAAAAACACTGAAGCAGCAAACTTTGTGAAGACCAATATTTGTGTCATTCTCAAAACTTTTGACCACGACTGTATATATACTGAGATCATGTGACAGATCATGTGACACTTAGATTGCACACAGGTGGACTTTATTTAACTAATTATGTGATTTCTGAAGGTAATTGGTTGCACCAGATCTTATTTAGGGGCTTCATAGCAAAGGGGGTGAATACATATGCACGTACCACCTTTCCGTTATTTATTTTTTAGAATTTTTAAAACAAGTAATTTCTTTCATTTCACTTCACCAATTTGGACTATTTTGTGTATGTCCATTACATGAAATCCAAATAAAAATCAATTTAAATTACAGGTTGTAATGCAACAAAACAGGAAAAACGCCAAGGGGGATGAATATTTTTGAAAGGCACTGTAATAGAACAATAACAAAGAGAGTTCCAAATGTCTCTGCAAATAACAGCTAGTTTTCCTAGACCAGTGATAGTGTTGAGGACTAGACCAGTGATAGTGTTGAGGACTAGACCAGTGATAGTGTTGAGGACTAGACCAGTTATAGTGTTGAGGACTAGACAAGTGATAGTACTGAGGACTAGACCAGTGATAGTGTTGAGGACTAGACCAGTGATAGTACTGAGGACTAGACCAGGATAGTGGTTGAGGACTAGACCAGTGTTAGTGTTGAGGACTAGAC